GTAGAAGCAAAACATTCCACTAGAAAAGATTCAGAGCTTGTGCTGAGGGAGTAACCAGCAAAAGTCAGAGACAACTACAGCACAGTCTATGAATGCAGTGCAGTGCAATTGTATTGATACAGTGCCTTTCCCGCCGGGAGGATGCCTTAAAGTCCCATTAGAGATGAAGGGGAGCTACTCCATGATCTTTCTTTCAACTACCTGCCTAAAAGAGGACTGCAGCTCTGAGAAAAATAGTGCATTGAAAATATAGATCCTTCTACCTCTTCTGCTTGACACTGATTTTTGTTCAATGCAATAAAGGCTGTTATATTAACTTAAACAGTCGGTCAGTGAACTATGAGAGCAGAAGGAATGCAGCAGGACTTTAGGGACTGAGGGGAGCCACCTCATGACCTCTTTCTTTCAGTGGCTTGCATTTTAAGGATTTTCATGCAGGACTTGCTGAGATACATATGAGAGGTATGCTGAATTTTAACTAATCTCATTAATAAAATATCCACAGTAACTGTTAACACAATTTTTTTTAAAAAGTGTGATTTGTTGCATTTCGCATCAACATTCAGAAACATACAAAGTGGGAGTATCAAACACTGACATCTGTAATCACTGTTCGATTCCAGTGCGCTATTGCAACACTCACAACATTCTTACTTTTCCATTGGTTTGAAATCTTGCAAAGACCTCAAATCAAGATCAGTAATATAGGATGGCCAAAAAGTTGTGATACCATTACAATGTCTAATAAGTCTTAAAGAAATCATCATTTTTTTAGAGAATAGGGTAGCTGAAAAATAAGACGTTTTGATCGCCCTGTATATGTTGGATTAGCTTAATTGGTTCTCCTTAGGGACTCATTAGGTTGGAATGTCCCATCACGCTGGGAAAATAGTCAAGTCTTGTCCATGGTGTATTCCTTTCTGCTGTGTAATTCCATAGCAACACATGCTGCTGTCCACAGTCCACTATATCAACGTAGCTTGAATGGACCATAGAGGTCAATTTAAAAAAAAACTTACTTTCTAGACTAGAGGAAGTCTTCTCATAATTAAAAAAAACCCTGAACTACCAAGACTCTGTTTCATAAGATAATTCCCAAAAGGTAAAGATCCTCACAAGAAATTCTTGCTGACTAACTAAAATGAGCTCTGAGATAGTTTCAGAGCAGCCTGTTTAGAAATAACAGACCTGTCAGTGAGCCATTTACGTTTGACAGAACTTTATTATAATCTCAGAAAGGAAATGATAAATTTGATAAAATCCCCACTAGCCCCAAGAGTTAGTCATATGAAAAGATGCCAATAAAAAACATTGAATTATTGTCATCTTTTCACATGACTCCCCTGGACTTAGCCTGTTCATAAAGCATCGTCAGCAAGAGTCTTTGGAAAAATCCAATTGAAAAAAAATCTGAAGCTTGCAATTCTATTTAATAATTTTAGACTTGACATGTAGTGCTCAATGAATTACGAAAAGGTACAGCTGTCCAATTCTGCATGTAATGTAGTTTCTCGGCTGTCTCATCATAGGTGGGCTCAGCTGATGTCTCACATTTCTGGTACATTGAAGGGAGTCTCAAAGCAATACTCCTCTACCTTACATTTTCAGCGTAATACTTTAAATAGTGACAGGATTGTTGTGTGCAATGCCACACTCATTATCAAGTGGATTATTATTCTACACAGAGAAAGGTCTAACTATGATATCCCTGTTGATACAGAGCTTTTATTTAGAAAACATTATTCTCAATGGTGACCGCTCTGAACACATCACTTCTGACTCTTTCCAAATGCAAGTCCTCGTATTGCATTTGATAAACTACCTGTATGTGCCAGGCCAGATGGCTTCATCTGGTGGCTGGGTAAAACTCTACTACCTAATTGTATAATTGTACAACCAACTTTAGATCTTCATTGGAATACTTTATCTGGCAAATACTTTTTAACCTTGTTTTGCACATGTGAGCTATCTAGCAAACAAAAGTCAGAGTGATTGGACAGATAGGACTATGGGAACATTACACCAAGGAAGAGAAACTGCTCCAAAATGTGCTTGTCAAAACATCTGGAATTTGGAGAGGGGCAGGAAAACACTTTTGAGAACCTTGTCTAGGGTGATTAAGGATAGGTTGTGCTTAGTTTGTGATGGAGTTGATTGCACACAATTTATTGAAAGAACAGGTATGTTGTGTTGCCTTTCCTTATTCTCAGCACACTAAGGGCCATTTGAGTTTACATGTATAATCGTAGGGAGTAAAACATTTTGAGGCTGACAGATCTTAAAGGACACTGGAATGTCCACTGTGTTCAATTTGGCTTAATATTTATAGTCATAAGTATTCATAAAATTCAACATTTGGATTTCAGCTGCACGTTGCAGTAGGGATCATTAATATGCTTACTCCCTTGCAGAGTATATAAGCACACTTTGTAATGATTGTGCTTTTATCAGCATTACATTTTCTGCATCAGTGAACCGAAGAAGAACGCTACAAGTTGTCTGATGAAAGGGGTGTGCCAAAGGACCATTTAGTGTCAGTCATGTGTCATCACAAAGATCTCTATGTTTCTTGCCTTAGAGAAAAACTTGAAGACTTGTAATAATAGCGAGCGTAGAAAATACTAATAAAATGCCAGAGAGGACTCCAAATAAATCCAACAAACCAAAAATTTGTAACAAGCTCAAATGATCACATGTGTTCAGCTTGAAATTTCTCCACTTCCAAAGAATCAAGACACAGCATATTTTGTTGTGCAGCAGTGACGAGTGATTCCTTAGAAATAATGATATCATCTACATATGACATAATAATAATCCTTGCATTTGAAATAGCGCTTTTCACGTCGGGAGGACATCCCAAAGTGCTTCACAGAATACACTGTAAAGTGAATTGACTGTATATTTGTGGGCGAACGCGGCAGCCAATTGCACACAGCAATGTCCCACAAACAGTCGTAGATTGAAAATGACCAATTTATTATTGTTTTTGGTTTTGGAGGGATTATTATTAGGCTTTGTGTGGAGTAAGGAAACCTGCCCAAGGTTTCGCCCTGACCTGCCTGGAATTGAACTCAGGTCTCTCGCTTGCAAAGCGAGTGCTCTAACCACTGAGCTACAGGACTCCACATCATATCATCATAGGACATATCATCAACCCAAATGAAAAGAGCTCAGTGACTTTATATCCAGGGTGACTGTGTAGTCGTGAGTCCTCTGGGGCCAGTGTGGCCGTGATGAGCTACACTATCACACAGTGCGCCTGCGCAGAGCAATCGGCTGTCAGTAGTGACAGAGTGGCCCGGGCCCTACAATAGTCAATTTATTTGTTAAAGCTCGTTTATGTTGAAGGATATCATAAAAAAAAACAGTCACAGTAAGATTTAAATCACTGAAGCTTTAAAAGGAACCTTCAATGAAATCACAATGAAAGTGAATTTTTTCCACAAATCACAATTTGATGGTTATTTGAATTTGAACTGACGACAAATGGTTGTGTTATTTCTGTATAACACCATTGAGGCATTACTTAGCAAATCTCAGCAAAAGGTAAAATGGCCTTTAATTGTTACGAACAATTGTTCTATCATTTGTAAAGAACCACAAGGCACAGAACAAGCTTAATCTGTCTGTCAATCGTACCCAAATGTGAGATGTGTCAGAACAGATTCTGTACCAGTAAGGAATCTACACGAAGGAAGATTCTGAAAGTAAAATTTAATTTTAGGCTTCGATGTTCAATTTTCTGGGGTTTAATACGAATTCAATTAGACAAAGTGGTGAAAATGACATTGCAGTAAATATGTCCATCGCTTTGTAACTATAACTATTTAAATGCCATGTCTTCAACGCTATTAATACTCATTGGCAGAATCTTAACGTTTAGTCAGTTTCCATTGTTATATTGAGAGAAAGTCCAATTTGGACATTTCCAATTAAAATGACAAGCACCTACATGCATTGAATACCTAGACACTTGGCTCAATTTAACATATGCCTTCACTATCCACCACCCAGTTATGTTCAATGGCAATTTTTTTCCCCCACACACAAAGTGCCCAATCACACAATGGCTTTAGGCCATTGTTCCTAGTTTTAATCTAACACTCAGAGATCCACTTCCTCAATATGTTTTCTTCAGAAGAATCTAATTCAATAACAGTCCTGGCTGGATTAATCACATTTAGCATTCTGACAATAAAAAGGAACAGGGCTTTAAATAAATCAATTATACTAATAACAAATACTATTACAGGCTCGGGAAAGTAAACAGTCAACCCATTTAACCAAGTTAAATTTTGTGTTTTGAAAGGATTTCCAACTCTCAGAGATGGTATCCTGCTGATGTGAAGGTTTCCTTATGCACAGATTGAGCATCCCCATTCTGACAATAAGCAGGAACAGATAAAGATACAATGTGGGATAATTACAAATTTGGTCAGGCAGTTAAAGTGAGTTAACGTTTCAGGTCGATGACCTTTTGTCAGACAGTTCTGATGAAAGATCATCAACTTGAAACGTTAACTCACGTTCCTCTCTCCATAGATGCTGCCTGACCTGCTGAGTGTTCCCAGCGACTTCTGTTTTTTTTTAAGATTTCCAGCCTCTGCAGTATTTTGCCTTTTGATAATTACACATTTGCCTGCAGAAGTCAGGCAGCAAACCTAATTTACTCATTTTAATTTTCAATTTTCCAACCTCTGTCAAAACATATTTTACTTTTACTCTGTCTGATCCATTTTATAATGTGTGTAATGCATGTCTACATCATAAGTCTTTTGCTTTGCGTACATGATCAACAACTATTCAAGGCAACTTTGTCAGAATCTCAATGTTTTTCTTTCACCAATTTATCTTAATATTGTTGCATACAGTCAATAAAATTAACAACAAACAACTCCAATTATGGATGTGAAGTATAGGCATATTAACACCATAAACTAACCTAAACCATATACACTATTATTGCAGCTAATGAGTAACAATGAATAAACTTCACTTACAAGAACTCGGCCAGTCAGTGTTTGGGCAGATATCATAACACCTGCCCAGTCCTTCACAGAAGTCATCCAGCCCACTTCTGCTACAGGGAGCTCTTCCTTCTCTTCCAGGTTTTTGGAGTTGGCATCAGCCTGAGAAAACACAACATTGGTGAATTTCTGTATATCCTATGGAAAACAGGCAACAAAACATTACAAGGGTATTTTTGATTTAGGACTGATGAAACTGAAAAGTCCTCCAGTTTACACTCACCCACACACAGCAAGGGAATGATTGAGACAGAGCAAAGGAATCTTACATCATTGGCAGCCCATGAGAAATCATATTTTTTGTCATAAATTATGTAGTAATTCCTGGAATGTATTATATCTACATATATACATCTACAAAATACAATACATACCCTTCATAATCTAACAATGTCAAAATTGGTCAGTTTATATTTGCACCTGTTCTGTTTTGAATGAAATGTGTTAAAATAAAAGGTTATATTTTGGGATAAATCAAATTTTACTTTCCCGTAAAAATAGAAAAAAAATGTTTTTTTGTTCAATATTAACCTGAGTACTGTTTTAAATTTGAAGGATTGATGAAACGACGCATAAAACGTAAATGATGGTGTTGCAGCCTGTAAGCACACTTTTAACCTTCATGTTAACTTGCAAAATATGGAAGAGTGATAGTCTGATCATTGATGAATTTACTCGTCTTGCTTAGTTCCTTCCTGTCAAGGTAAGAACATTTACTGACAATCTTGAATCTGCGCCATTGAGACTTTTCCTATTCACAGATTGCATTCACTGTCAAATAGCACAAGTCTTCTTACTGAGAAATGTACCTTTCAGACTCAAAGCCTAATTAAGTGAATGTTTTCTTGACTGGCAGTTGATCCTGCCCAATAGTAGCAAAATAAGCATTCTCAGAATTTACTGTGTGTTTCTGGAGAGAAGGTGCAAGCTTATGGGATTGCATTTGGGTGGTAAAGCTACATGTAGTAATTTGGGTTTGGGGAAAAAAAGTAAACCTGTTAAAATAAGCTTTTGCTTTGCCTCCACATTGACAATATCCTTTTGATCATTTTGTGGTAAACACAGTGGTGGCTTTTCCATTTTAATTAGCAGAAGCGGTATCACATTACTTATTAATGGATCTTTCTATAACTCTTCCTGTTGTTTCATCACAGAGCAGCACTTAAAGGCAAACGGAAAATCCATAGGACAATCTGTTGATTGCACGATGTGTATGGAATATGTCGTATATAATTTGACAGAGAGTACAGAAAAACCTGGGAAACCATGACTGTGATAGGTAACAGAAAATAGAAACTTTAGGTGCTAAAACTAACAGGAAGAAATACTTCTCCTGTGCAGCAGGAGATTATGCACAATTTATCAGGGGCAACGGATTATAAATATTGTAAAATAATGAGTGGAAGTAACCTATTTGAGATATTCTTGACATTGCCCAAACCAAGCAATAGTCAGGTGAATTGATAGGCAACAAGTCAATCAAACGCAACTTGCTCAATTTACTCTGAGAATCATTACTCTTTTTCATTGAATAAAATGCTTCAAGGAGAGTCACAAAGACTCAATTTCAGAACCATGGACTTACTTACTTACTGCGCTATCCTGCATAATATTGCATAACTTACAGCTCCTTACAATTGGTTGTGCCAATACTTCTTGACAGTCATTCAAAACAATACAGGTATTGAAGCAGCACATTCCTAGGTACTTTTAAAAATCAATATGCTGGAAGATCAATAGTGACACCCCAAATAACTTCAATAAACGTTAATGACTCAATGACAACATGAATGCTGTCTTGCCATTAATACTTTCTCAACATGTCAATTTAAATGGACAAGTCAGATCATCCCAATACAGATATCAGCTTGGTAATACGTAATAATCATGCAAACTAATCTTAAAATTTACAAGACCAGATGGGGATTTAATTTTCATGGATCAACTTGCATTAGTACAGCGCCTTTCAAGACAAGAGGACATCACAAGGCACTTGATATTCAAGAGTTTGCAATCAAACTGAGGGTTACGTATATAAGAAGTGCGTGCGTGGCGTGGGGGGGGGGGGGGGGGCAGATAACCACAGTCGTGGTCAAAAGGGAAAGTCTTGAGATGAATCTTGAAGGAGGCAAGGGAAAGGGCAAGGCAAAGGCAAGTATTAATTATTTTAAATTTTAAAATAAATTATTTTGAAAGGTGTTGGGAATAAGGCAAAAAGCTCTCGTGACTGAGCAAGAGACAGCTCAGCCACTCCTTGAATAGCATTAAGCTTCATCCCAATATTTTTCAATCTGGTCCGATTCAAATGTAAATGTAAAAATTGGTATTTGATCATACCACGTATCTTTGAAACTTATGTCACACAGTAATTTCTTTAGCACATCCCTGACTTGCAGAACAGACAACACAGCCTTGAAAATAATCCATCTTATGATTCTTGAAGAAATTCGTTACTGCAAAACAAGGGTTGAGTATTTTGGAAACTTATTATTTTAATTTATTCTTCAAAAGCTTCACACCATTGGATTAATTTTTAATTTATTACTATATCGCAATGAATGGAACACCACAAACATCAATCTGCAAGTCTGAGCACATGAACATGAACAGGAAATCCCATTTAAACCTCTGGAAATGTATATATATTCTGAATTTCCAGTGTAATTACACTAAATGAAAAAATAGGAAGCTACATTTGTACTCCAATCATGAACGTGAGAACCCAATGCTTCCGAGACAGGAATTCTGCATCAGGATATTGGAATTGGTTGATTCTAATCTCCTCTGGGTTTAAAACTGAAAATTAAAAATCAGCATGTGTGCATCAGGCAGGTAATTAAATCCCATTCTCGACCTTGCATGAACCCAAAGCTGCCCTTACAGTAAACCATGGAGGATTACACTCAATTCAGATCAGAATGACCCATATTGAACACCAACAACATGCAAAACCCTCGAATACAAAATTTATTAAACGTTTGTCCCCTTTTAACTGGAAGAGGGCTATATTTGTGGTATTTCTCATCCACAAACAAAATATTCTCTCCACTGACATTTTAAATGAAACTACAAATATACCTGGTTACCAAGGTAAACCTCATCAGAGCTCACTTCAACACTATGGATTGTTAGAAGGGAGCTTCAGGTTAGACTGAAATAGTATAGGTTGCTGTGACATTTTTGAGTCAGTCATCCTATAGTGTCAGTTTATTTACAGGAAAAAGTGCTCCCATTTTAATCAAACTGATTTTGTGCAGATTGGAATGGAAAGTTTGATCCCCTTTAAAAATCTCCAGGATCACCATACCATGATGCATTTAACCTTATAACCCCAGGTAAGTGCACCAGAAAGGAAAAAAACATCATCAATATAGTTAACAAGGGCTCAGGTTGGGACTAATTCTAGACATGTGGCGCATGGAATTCTTTGCATGTGGCAAAGAATATACATCATGTCTCACAAAGTCTTTGATATCGATTATGCTTCTAACACAAAGAGTTCATTATCCATGCGTTCAAAGAGCAGAACTGAATCAATGATAGACAGCCTGACACGTGTGGTGACAGAAGCTATGCAACCTTAGGGAAAACAATCAATAATTAAGAGTCCCAAATAAACAGTGTTTTTTCCTTTGGATTGTAGATTATAAATTAAATTATTTTAAACAAAAGAATGCGACAGTCATTTATAGCAGTTGTAATCAAATCTTATCGTATAATTTACACAATTATTTAGTATTGATTTGATATGGAGATAACCAGACGTACCATTGAGGTATACCAGCATGCTAGTTTAGTGCACAGCAGAATGATGGGAAAGGTTATGTTGCTGCAGTTCTCAGTAAAGCACGTTCCAAGAAATATACTTCTGAATGACTGTATAAGACAAGTGAACTGACAGAGACATCAAATTACCTGAGGTTACAAGACAACAACAACTTGCATTTATATACCGCCAATCGTGTCTCAGAGCTCCACGCAGTGGCAGAGTTGGATGCTGAACAAGGGAGAGGTAGCCATAGGTATAGTCAAAGAAGTAGGTCTTTAAGTGAGATTTAGATAAAGAGGGCTGGAAGGGTTCAGGCAGGGAATTTCAGGCAGAGATTTGGGGAGTAGAGTCTGAAAGCACGGCTGCTGTTGATGGCACAGAGAGTTCAGTGAATGTGCAGCAAGCATGTGTTAGCGGAAAGAAATGTGTGGGATAGGAGTGAGTGCGAGCAGGTCCACAGAGACCACCAAAACAGGGCAGCCAGAAACGTATTCATGAATCTTTTACAGCTGCAACTTATAAAATGTGCATCAGTTGAGCATCAGAGTATATGGTGCAGTTGCATTAACATTAAATAGATAAGATTATGAATATCTTCCATTCGCTGCACAAATCCAGTTTTCCTGCTGCGCATTTATTTGGATTTCTGAACTGTATAAAGAACCTATTTCCAACTGTTCTGTAAATAGAACCAGCACATCACTGGTAATGGTGAACGTGTGACTGGTTCAGTGGGCCAGTGATTGCATTTCCTATGCCAATTACAGTAGCAATATTCATGCATCATTTTCCAGCATACACAGAGTTACTTGTGCAGAGTTCTAGCATATTGTCTTCTCTGAAACGAGTAACATGAACAGGGTTGATAGCTTGGAGGAGCCATCCTTCTGACTCCAATGATACCATTAGTGACTAAATTAGTGTCTGCCAAATACAAAGATAATCCATGATCAGGTTTTGCATGGAGAATTAGACAGGTGGAACATGTTCAAACAGCTCCTTTTAATTGGATGAAAAATACGACTCAAGCTTCTTAAGACAAATCCAACTCTAACAATAAGAAAGGAATTCCAGTATAGACCGCACAATACAATTAGATGCCATGATGGTATCTTAATGTGCAAAAGCGTTTTAGGCTGAATGGCATTTTCACACTTAACAGCTTTTATCATGTTGTTACAAACTGAAATATTAATAAAACGTTTTAAACAACAATGTACCACATTCCAATTTTTTTAATATTTGGATGCTGGAAATGTCCCTTTAAAGTGGCGGATTGCCTTCCAAATTTAGTAATACATAATTTATTGCCCCATAAGAAGCAGTTGTCCTA